TTATTTTCCACGGCATGTTGAGACTATCACACACACCCACACACACACTTGAATCTGCATATAGCTGATGCATATGTAATCAAGAAACTCTCTCATCACCGCATTGGTATTTCCCAATTTCCACTTCAGAAAAACTCACAAATTAAAATCCATCTCCCCCTTTCACACATAACTGTTCTTGAGAAAACCCAATCCATAAACCCAGAGAAAATCAAGAACACTAAAACCCTACTCTCTCATCATTTCATCCACAAAAAGAAAAAACACACACAAACACACACACCAAACCATTCAATCCACGGCCGATCAATCACCATGCTCAGTCCCAACGGAAAAAGGGTTTTCTTCGTCATTTTCATCTCTCTAATCTCTCTCATCTCCCTCGCCCTCACGTCATCCACTCCCCAAACGCGCCCTTCATCAGCTGTACACGTGGCGGGTTCCAAGAAAGCCGAGCCGCGGCCTGTTGTTTTCAGCCGGAGCAAAAAACGGGCGAGGCTCGTTAGGCACGAGAAGAAAGCGAACAAGGGTTTTGATTATAACCCGCGTTTTTCAGCCATGCTTCCAAAGGGTTACGTGCCGCCTTCAGATTCGTCGCCTTGCCACAATCTCTACCCTAATTCGGTAGCCTTCTTTTGTCATCTTTCTTCGGCCAATGTGCGTGGACCCTAGAGAGAGAAAATAAACCGGGTTTTTTTTTTCAGTAGAAATTTGAAGAAATATTTGACATGCGTTTTGTATATTGTTTGTTGATATGGAAAACCGGGTCTGAGCGAANAAGTGTTGTTTGAATTTTGGGAGGTGGTTTTTGTTAGCTACAGGGTAAGTAATGTTTGATTAGTGATGATCGATTGATAAAATTACTTTTTCAGTATATAGTACTAAATTTGTTTACTTGTCATGTTTAATTGTTGTTTTCTAATCTAATATTTGTGTAAAATTTTTGTTGAATCATCTATTTTCTCTTGGAATAATTAACTGTTCCTTTGATACATAAGAATTGTAACATATATAGTACTTTACTCATGTCGTTTTCTAATCTGCGATATATAATTATAAAGTATTTGATGATTCAGCCTGTTTTCTCTTGGAATTGAGTGTTCTTTTTCCATGATCGATGCATAAGTATTGTATTATTCTTTTTGTATACATTTTCACTATATTTAATCAAGTATTTTGAAGGCTAAATGTTGAAATGCCAACTAGTGTATGGTTGACGCTTGACATATACAAAGTTAATAGCTCAAACTGTAAATTATCTAATTTGCAAAGCTACTCAAAACATTAAGACTATGTTTGGTAGATCAATAAACTAGCTTATAGCTTATTTGGTTAGCTTATAAACTTCATGTATTTAAATAAATTTCGTTTGGTGGGACGAGCTAACTTTTTTAAAAAGTTCAAGCTTGTCTCATAATCTTCTTTGGGTAGCTTTTCAAATAAGCCCATTGAAATTTTTATGTCAGCTAGCTTATCGGCTAATTTTACCAAACACTTTTATTATATGAGCTAGCTTTTCAGCTATAAGTCATAAGCTCGAAAATTACCGATAAGCTGAGCTCGAAGATTACTGATAACCTATAAACTAACTTATCATCTATCAGCTAGTTTTACTAAACATAGCCTAAATAAGTAGCAATATTGGCATTAATTATTATTTTTTTCTTCCCATCATTCATCACATGTTAAACGAAACAAATTGCACATATGTTCGGCTCACTTACAACTTGTTTAACTAATGAGCAGAGTTGAGCATATGCGAGCTCAGCTCGTTAATTAAGGCTTAAAAGTATGAATTTTTATGTAATCGAGCTTGTTGAGTTAAACAATCGAGCTCGATTTTGCTCGGTAAAGACTCGGGCTCGAGTTCGAGTATTAGAGTTCAAACTGAGGTCGGTTCGTTTACACCTCATTCATGTCTCCATGAATTCAACATTTGATCTTCCTCTTGGTGGTGGAATTAATGTTGGCTTCATTTAGGTTTTATGATCTTGGAATGTTTGATTAATTTTATAAATTGCACGTACAAAGAGCTCAACAATTTTAGCAGGCGGGATTTGAGCATGAAGCATATGAATTTTCCATCATTTTGGGTACTTTGTTTCAAATTTGCTCATATATATAATATATGATTACTTAGCGTTTACTTCAGTGCTTTTAATTAGTACTTTCTGCACTCTTTGCTATGTGTATTTACTAAAATCAAAAGACGAGGAGGACTACTATTTTTTACTATCTTCTTGGTTAAACAAAAGTTACATAAGACTTGTTTTATGCTTTCATTTGCTTATGAACATTTATACAAATTAAGTTCGTTGTCTACAAATACAGAAATACTATTATGTCAGTTAATGATAAAACAGTGTATATGCGTTTGTTGGGAAAATACAGAATTTTGCAAGAATGAATAATTACTTGGAAGTCAGAGATTTTGATAAGCAATTTTCAGATTCGTAATAATCATATCAAATGTAACTTATCAATCAACTCATTTTGTCATAAATATACAATATTGTCGTGACGTGGCTTTTACCATATATTGTCCTCGACAGATAATATATATCAATATGTTTGTATAAGAAAAGTTTTTCAATAGGGCTGCAAACATATGTACTCGTGAGTGCTCAAGTCAAAGTTCGGTCAGAGCTCGAGTTTGACCGAGCAAGAGTCTAGCTCGAGCATGTTTATGATAAATTTGACTATAAGTATAATTTACCTAAATCCTAACTCGTTCTAAATTTGAGCTAACCTCAAGAAAACTTCAATTCGAGCAAAATTTGGCTGATCTCAAGTATTTGTATGTTTTTGTCGAGTCAAGCTCAAGCAACATTGAAAAAAATCGAGCCTAACTCAATCAGACCAACACTCGACTCAGGCTCAGCTATTTTAAAAGATTGAAATTTTTAGTTATGGTAAAACAAACTAGTCTTTTGTTTGAAATAATTTTTCAAACTCTTTGAATAAAACAAAATAACATCTATGACAAGCACATAAACAATGAGAGTACAATTGTACGTTTTCAACATATACATACACGAAGTACAACATTTTGTAGCATAAGTATACATTTTTAATAAAAAAAAAAGAAAAAAAAAAGACGAATTGAAACCGTCTCACACAGATTTTTGTGATATATAAAATGTGAGAGTATATGAAACTTAAAAAACATTCCTAAATTATGTTCTCTTCTCTACCAACCAAACACACCCTTTAAAATCTCCACCTCAATATGATTGTCATGTGGCCCTTTAAATGAAACACCGCCAATTTCTTCAAATTGGTCTTTCCCGTGAAGGGTTTGGTTGGTTGGTTCTCTTTCTTTTCCGTGAAACACAAACCAAATTGGTTGGCTATTAAAATGTTAACAAAAAAGAAAGGAAAATAAAAAAAAAGGGGTCATCAAATTCAATCATGGGACTCACCCCACATACCTAAAAGATAGCCCTCACATTTGCCACAACTTGTGTTGCCAAACAAGTCTGGGCTGGCCATCTTGGTCCTGGGGCCCGATCCAGCCCAGCCCGGCACAATATTGTGCCTGTATTCTACTGCCACGTGTTCAAATACCTCAACCTCGAACATGTTGAGTTTAAGTTTTGGGATAATTTTGTCCCTCACAAATGCAAAGGGGAGTTGATCTCTTGGGTTGAAGGCTTCAAGTTCATTAAACAATAGGCATGAGAAAAGGTTGGTTGGCATTGTGTGTTTTCTAAGTATAATTGCACTGTCTGGCACATCTGCAAAATAGTCCAATTGAAAAATGTAAGAAAAAGAAAAAAAAAAATATTGCAAGGAAAAATCGACTTCAAATTTTGAAAATTTCTCCTTGGTAAATTTCAAATAAATAATGAATAATGTAAAAATAGTAACGACTACTATTAAACAAGCATACTTACAATATAAATAAAAGTGTTATTTCACTATATTAGTATTATAATATTAAAAAAGTATGATGGATTAGCATGAGAAATAGAGAAAATAAAACTAACATAAATCTATACTTATATTAAAAGGTATACCATTTACCAAATTTAGTATAAAGAAAAGTCAACAACATTTATTGCATTACTATTTCCGTATTATACAATCTATACTTATATAAAAGGAGATTCTATTTACTACATTTACTATCCAGAAAAGTCAACTGCATTAAATGTCATTACTATTTTGCTATTATAATATTTTATTTATTTAATTGATTTATTTATTTATTTTATTTTAAAAAGATAAGTATAATAAAAAGATTTTAATAATGAAAAAATCAAATACCAAATAAAAATGTACACTTTGGCTTATTTAATTATATTTGTTATTTGATTATACCAAATATATTCCTATTTAGTATATACATTAAATACTTACTAAAGTATTTATTTGTTTTATTTGTCAAAGTTAAGTATAGATTTGTTTATATTATCAAATCATAAAAAAATATTAAATCTATATTGTAAAAAAAATCATAAAATTTTATAACAATTCTACTACACTATTTAACAATATTTTTTTTAATTATATAATAAAATAATAATTAAAAATTATATGGTGAACAACAATAAGTAAAACTGTTACTTTCTCTTATATCAATGGATAAATTTATATGCTAAAATTAAATTTTTATTAGTATAAATGTTTTAGTGAGATAATATATTAATTATTTTACAAGCTAACCCTAACATGCTCATACTTAATGTTTTAAAAGATGTAGAAAAAAAACTTATAATAACTCTATTGTTTTTTAGACTTAAACGTTGATTAAAAGGGGTAAAAATTCCTAATTTTTTAGACTTAAACGTTGATTAACACCATAGATTGAGAGTTTATATTTAGTAAAATTCCTAATTGTAATAAAAAAAATTAATTTTTGCTATATTTTAGAATATCTTTAAATTCATTATAAAAAAAAAAAAAAAACTACAATGAAAAAAGCAAGTCAGCTATATATCGATTTGTTGTACTCCTCAAATCACATTCACAATTTGGCTACAAGGAAAGGAAACTCATTGATTAAAATATTATTTTGTCAGTAGTCTTAATGTACAAGAGACTTTAAGACTCCACTTGAATATTATAAAACTTTTATTGAACATTGTACAATTTTCTTGCGTATTATAAATTTTTATTGAATATTGTATCTTATAATATAATATTCTCCAAATAAATATATCTCGTGCTTCGCACGGGTCACGTACTATATATATCCCGTACATTTTTCTTTATTCATTGGATAAATAGCCTTAAAATTGTGCACTCTGTGCATCGCACGGGCTCTGTACTAGTTAAAATAAAATAATTATCGTTCAATATGACCTACTAGTGGCATGGGAGAAGCGGGATTTAAGGGACCTAATAAAACCTTTCATGTGCTTATTCTTTGGTGTTTAATAGGTGCAATTGTCAACTACAATATTGGTTCACATCAAGACTTGACAGCTCATACTAACATAAAATAAGCTTAATAGTTGGCTAAAAAATAATAAAAATGTGTTTTTTTTTTTTTTTAATTTATTTAAGTTGGAATCTTCTTCATTTTAATACCAGTATAGTTGACACTAGAAAGATCCTAGAAGACAAAAGAAAGCACCATTTCTTGTAAAATACTCCATACTATTATTAAAGGAAGTGAGTACTTGGGGGAGCCTTTAGCTAGCAAGCTTCAAAGACAAAAAAACATCATTACATTGAGAAATAAATCACCGAAATTAATGACTTATAAGCTAGCTTTTAATTAAGTAGAACCAAATTAAAGTCTATACCATCTTAGCCTAGAGCTACATATGTGTCACAACCAACTTTGTTATGTTTGAAAGTTACAAAAGCTTGAAACAAATATGAGGATTTAAGTCAAAAGAGGATTTATTTGTGATTAGTGATGTTAAATTAAACGACCGAGCTCAAACTCATTGAAAACTTGTTCTGTTAACGAGTCGAGTTCGGCTCAACTCAATAAGACTCGTTAATGCTCGAAAAGATAATTTCTATATAATTTTCTATAGTTCGGTTCATTAAATCTCGAGATCGACTCGTTATTAGTCGTAAACGAGCTGAGCTCGAGCTTCGCTCAGCTCGTTTACAGAACTATTTGTGATTTCCAAAGATAACTAAAATTCATTTCTAAACGAAAAAAACTCGAGAATACTTTTCTTGTTATTTTACCTGTGGGGTAGGTCTTATTCGGGCTCCATGGGGTCAACCCGTTTTCGCAATAAGTCTCCATTTGGACCTTCAACCCGTTCACATCCCACCATTTTTTCCACCTAGCGGTCGCCATTGCCTCCTCCATCGTGTGCGAAAAATAAGGATGTCTCGAGATAGCCATGTCAGCATTCTCCTCCACAACGAGCGAATGAATCAACAAAAACGGGTCAACTACCAATTGCATCTTCGCATCGACCCACACGCTATACTTTGAATTCGGAAATAGCCGGTGGATTAGGTACTTAGGTATGATCCCATTCATGGCAGGACTTTCGTACAAGAGCTCGCTCGAGACATTAACGATCCTCCAAGCGCCGATTTTGAATGCTTTCGATGTTTTTGTGATCATTTTGTGATAGTGAAGTCGGTTCAGAGTGGCATCATCGACAAACATGAAGAAGCACGTGTGGTCTAGGGTTTTCGACCCGAGACCTTTCGGTTGTCGGATTTTGTCGTGATCGTTGAATATGGCGGAAGCCACCACTAGTCCGCGGCATTTTTCCATGGAAATTCTATCTGAAAAAACAATAATAATGTTCTTCAATATACAAATTACAACCATTTAAACTTATATATCTTCTTGAACTATAAACACTTACATGAAAACAAAAGGGAGTGCCTAAATTGATTGGTAAATAGTAAAAACACTTAGTAAATAATTTGATTGGTATTTAGTAAATTGATTGGCATTTTTCCATGGAATCTATCTGAGAAAAACAGTAAAGGAGTGCCTAAATTAATTGTCAAATTCCAAATAGTAAATACACTTAGATCATATAAAAAACACNAGACCCGATTGTCCCGTGGATTCGTCAATTCTTTTCTGGATTTCATCGAAAACCACCTGATAATCTGACCCAAAAAAAAAAGAACAAGAACTAATCCGAATCCGACAAATTAAAAATAATTTGTTTCAAGATTTTTATTTTTATTTTTTTTCTGTATCATCTATTTTATATACCTGAGAAATAAACAGGGGAGTTGCAGGAGTTTCGAGTGGTGGGTATGGCGTGTTTGTGTTCTCCATAAGAGGATGGATATAAGAAGAGTGGGGCCTGAAAAGGTTCGGAAGGCGACCACCGGAAAACGCATTTGGTGGCGGAGAAGGTGAAGTAGACGGCCAAGGAGAGGGCGGAGAAGAGGTAGATGAGAGAGAAACAGAGGAGCTTGGATTGGAAGATGAGTGGCTTTGAGAATGTAGCTAACTTCCCCATTTTAGTAGAACTGCCCAATCACACATCATCATAATGCTAATTTTTAGTTTCTTGCATCTTACCCTTTCTTTTTTATTTTATTTTTATTTTTTAATGGTATTATTAATTATTATTATTATTGTTGTTGTATTCATGATTTAGTTTCAATTGTAATTATGGTGTTATGTTGCCTAATGGCTAGTCAATCATATTTTTATGAGATGTACATAATTTTCAAATATCATTGTATATGTATATTTTTTGGGTAATTTACATACATCCTATACGTTTTATAAATAATTGCAATTTTACGGTTGGCAACAGATAATTTGTATCAATACCCAACTCTTCCAAAATAATTATACTATTACATAAAATTTATTTCCAAATGAAAAACGTGCCTTAAAAACCGGAAGTGATTACTGAAAGAGAAAAAAAAAATTGTTATATTTGGTAATGTATAAACTAACCATCTCTCTCTCTCCTCCAAGATTGTTAGAGATTTTAGGCCTTCCAACAATGTTGCAGCGATGGCCGGTGGGGATTGAAATCACTCCCGAAATATAATTATTCTTTTTTCCTGTAAATTTAGGTTTTTCTTATGATTTTTTGTGAGAATTTTGGGAGGATGATGTTTGAGAAATCGGATGGATGTAAATGGCGGGTATAAGGGAGAAGGTTTTGGAATTTCGCCTGTCGGATGGAAGAGGAGGGGCAAGTATCAGGATTCATGGAGGGGGAGGAAGTCATTTGGGAAAAAGACGAGCAGTTTATGTATAGACAATATACACCAAATATAATTTAAATATACTTTAAATATACACTAGAGTTTCAATTATTTCTCAAAATCGATTTAAGAACTCACATATACAAAAAATATACATAAGATATACCCTCGAGATTCTCGAAATTCAAGCACTAACAGATCAAGACACACATATACATAAAATATACATAAAATATACTATCGGTACTGTTCAATTGTCTCTCATTTCAGAACCCAGATTAGGAGCCGAAACTGTAGCCATGGCCCTTGTCTTTGCATCCGCAGGCTCACTCAACGGCGTTGGTTCTTCCCCTCCTCGACGGTGACGGGCGTATCTCGGTGGCGTCGCCTCGGTCGGCTGAGAATTGTACGACGGGGAGAAGGAGATGGATTCCACCATCGAGAATCTACCCCCATCATCGGAAAATCGTCGCTCGTGTACCATCATCACGCTCGAGAAGTCGTCGGTGATAAAGACTTGGAGAAGTCGCGGATCAGCATGCTCAATTCTCTCCAGTAGCAAGTTGTCAAGGAGCTGCAAACAGAAAAAAGAAAAAGAAAAGAAAAAAAAAAAACTTTGGTCGTATAAACCTGTAGAAGAAGAGAGAGAGAAGGAGAGTTATTTGGAATGTGATAAAATTTTTACCTTTAATTACGCATAAAGAAAATTTTCCCAAATTTAATCTATAATGTGGTATTTGTGAAAATAAAATCAATAGATTATGTTAATATGCTAATATTTTTTAGGGGGTTATATTTATGTAATAAAAACATAAAGGAACCGGTGCAAATTCCTCTATTTTTTTTAGGGATTAGGGTTGTTTAAACATTAGGTAGCTGATTTTGTGGGTGCTCTTAGTATGCAGTTCCAGTGTAAACCTATTGGGCTCTGTTGAACACTGGCTCCAACAAGCCCACAGCCACGAAGAACCCAACAGTCTGGAATACTGGGCCTACTGAGAAAATACAATTATAAAATATTATTGAAAAAATACAAAATGAATATAATGCAGAATTTGAGGTATCAAAATTTATGCATAATTATAAAATAAAAATAATAAAAATAGAATATAAATTGTTTAAATTAATTACTCAGTTCAATATTGGCCTAGTTGAACCAGTGACCCCCAAAGGCCCGCCCGTGTCATTTACTTTGAAACATTGAAATAGCCAGAACAATATTGAATCTCCCTTGAATAATATACTCATTAATTGTCGGAGAAAAGGATAAATTTCGGAAATTATCAAAAGCCTCAGAGCCTGTTGGATTATGATGCTTGGAATACAGCCAAAATTTCATCCAAACTCATGAGCATGGAAATAGAAAGCAATTTCACAACCCCAATACACCAACACCAAACTTCCTCCATCATAATATCATCTTCATAAAGCAATGTCATAAACATGAAAACGATAATCACAAACACTGATCAAATTTGATGGACAAATTATCCTCCACTGGACATATTATCACATATTTTTCATTTAAAACTCTGCAAAGGATCTGCTGTTTTGCCAGACCTTGCATCTGTCCATGCTTTAGCAATCGTTCGTTTCATATCTTCATCTCCTTCTTCGTACATATTCTGCAAATGGGTTGTTGACAAATCATCACATGAAAACGAAAAATCACACAATGGATAAAAAAGTAAAACAACAACTCGGCAGTCGATCACTATTTTGTTACCGTACCTTCATCAAGCCCATTATTCCAGCCATTGGATCCTCCTCTTTGTCTAAATTTGGTTTCAACTGTAAAAATCATAAATCGGGCTTCACCACTTGCTCCAAAATACCCAAAAGAAAAATAAATAAATAAATAAATAAATACACTATCAAAGATTCATCGTGCAGTTCAGACATATCGATTACCTTGTCTTCTTTGAAGTGCAAATCTAACCAGTTCCCTTTAGAAGCTTTGACTAGAGTGATAACAACCCGTTTAGGTTTTACGACGAATTTGCAATGATCGGGCACAATGCCTTTGTTCAGCTTAGGCACAGCACATCTGTAGTTCTTTCCTTGTACATCATGGAATTTGATATCGCATGACATCGTCTTAAAGTCAGCCTCGATCTTCTCACGATCGACTCCCTCAAGTGATACATAAATCTGCAGCAGAGCAAAGAAGTCAGACAAAAATCACAGATTCCAAACATTTTATTAGAAGATAAAATCCTCTCACCTTCAGATGATCATTATCTTGATCCCAGCTGAAGGAGCTAAGGGTGGTATAGCTCAACAGTGGATTAGGTGCTGTTGATATTGGATTCGGTGGGCTGATAGTGGAAACTGGGGCAACTGTTGGTGCCGAAGCAATTTCTTTCAATAGCTGGGACAGAAAAAAATTGAACACTGATTAATTTTTAGAAATTTGCAGCACTGAGTCCCGACAAAAGTTTTCTACACAAAAAGTATGATGAAATGAAATGCCAAAACGTGTTCACTTCATCATACGGACTGGGAATGAGGACGGACTTGTGTAGTTCGAATTGGGGCATTTTTTTTTTTTTTTTTTAACTTGTTTAAAACACACTTTGTTCACTTAATCATGTGTGCTTTAATAAGCAAACTCAAGATATTTAGAGAGAAAATCTGGAATGTGATGTAAATAACTCGATCCACACATTCATCTTACGAAATTTCAGTATAAATCAGGTCACACGTTAGATACTTGTTTCAAAAACGACCCATTTAGTCCCTCTCTGAAACTCTTCCATCGGCACATGGCTATACATTTTGCCTCAGAGTAGTGAACATGTAATTGAAATTTCATGAAAAATTAATGATACCTTTGAAAGGTCATTCAAAATAAAATTACAATTTTCTACAACACCCCTCTACCTTTAAAAATGCTTACAAGTTCATAAATATATGTAAATAACAGAAGTTCCTGAAAGTCTCTGGCTGATACAGGATCAAACAACGATAAATCGGGTAAAAAACATTCAACAGACGTTCTCACTAAAGAAGGTACGTTGCTACAAAAAACATGAGGTACTATCATCAAGTTCAGCCATTAATTACTCTTCCAAACAGTAATTTTCATAAGAAATATGAAAGTTTCGCATCGAATATGAGTTTTCAACCAAAACTGAACAACATGCACATTTCTCAATACAGATAAACAGAGACGATGCGTCTCAATTTACAAAACAAAAAAAACGCATCGAGAGAGACCTTTTCCAAATTGCGAATCTCGGAAGATATTAGAGAAATAACGCGCGGCCTCTTAGCGATGCTTTGGATCTGCTTCAATTCCTCCAAATCCAGCGCCAAATCTTCACTGTTCGCCATAATTAACCACCTTCACAACTAAAATGGTACTGTCTGGTGCAGAAGGGAGCTCAAATTTCAGGGAAAAAAAAAAAACTGCTTAAAACCCTCACGATGAATGGAGATTGCTAAAACCCTCACGATGTGGTGCTTGACGTTTCCATTTTCAAACAAGATTGATAATTGATATTAGTGAGTGTTGATGGGTAAGAAGTTTCTAGACAATATGAAGAAACGGGCCAATTGTAAACATGGATCCGATTGTTGGGCCGTAGACTTTACAGATATGGTTATCATCAGAAGAAGAATTAACATATTGGGCTGGGCCTCATGTTTCAAACTATGATATATAAGATTTTCCACAATAACTGGCCCAGTACAATATGGATCATTTCTGCCCAAAATCAGAGGCGCCTTCCGAAGAACTAAAATGACGTTGTGTCCACTTAACAAAGCGCTAAACGAACCTAAGAAAAAATGCGACTTTTGAAACAGAAAAAACAGAAAGGAAAGAAAAGCTCACTCAGCGCACAAACATGACACGTGTACACCTACATAGTCTTATAATTGTTCGCATACTTCATTAGAAATTTTTATTAAAACCGATGGTCAAACTCCATTGCTATAGATTAAAAAACAAAGTAAAGCTAAGCACCGTCATTTTTTAAACGACAAGATGGTTTAAGCAGAACTAATACTTAGATAATTATATTTTTTTTAATATATATAAATATTTGAAATTGAAATGTTATTGTCTGAAAAATATATAATAAACCATAATATTTCATAACATCTAAGCTTCTTTTTTCTTTAAAAAAAAAAAATTAAGTATAACGAAGAGACATATCTACTACCGTGTCATATAAAAATTTTTTTTTTTTTTTAAAAAAAAAAAATATGTTAATTTTGTTGAATTATAATATTATATGTCCTATGACTTGAACACACAAAGTGAAAATTTTTCCCATCAACACGACTACATTGTTTATTATTATATATCTAAAAATATTATATTAATTATTTTTCCCAACACGACTACACTGCTATATTTCCTCAACTGCTCCGTCAGATTTTATTCTGGGAATTTTTTTCCGGCCATAAAATGTTGACTAGTGCGCCATGGGTGTTGTGGATTGACTTAATGCAGGTGGCTAATATGACATAAGTTGCATTTTAGGTAAATGATGAGGTTATTAATTATCCTTCACTGTAAACGAATTGAGTCAAACTCGAGCCTTTATCAAGTTAAGTTAGACGCATTGATTAAATGAGCCGATCGATAAAATGAGTTTGATCAGCTCCACTTAATTGTTCATCAATTTTGATGAGCCGAACTAAAGTAAAATTTAGAAAATTATGTAAAAACACTTATTTTCCAGCAGTTCGACTCATTAGCTAAATGAAGTTTGGACGAACTCGAACTCACAAGCGGCTCGAATTCGTTTTATAACTCTAATGCACATTTAAAAACAAAATGTTGATGAACCATATTTTCAATTTCTATGCTTTTCTAGAAGAGTAATATTTTTCTATAATAAACATTCATTAGGAGAATGAGTAGAAAAAGAAGACCTAGTTTAGAGGTACGTTTATTAGGAAGTAAGGCTATTGGTAAGCAAACACAAAATTTCAGCAATTATTCTTTTTCAGTAAGGTTATGTTTGCTTCCGATTAGATTAATTTAATCTTGAGAGACAACTAGCCCTATGTTTGTTGTGTAGACTAACCTTATTGAGATATTGTTGGAGATTACTTTGATCTTCTATTTATTTGATATGACTACGCATAAGATAAAATTTAAAGTTCAAATCTTTAGGGGGGTAAATAATATAAAATGAAATTGTACTGACTAAAGTTAATATATGATATGAATAAGAATATAGTGATGGTTATAATATATGATAGTTAGGAATAATATATAAATATCTAGTTTTTTTTTTCGGATTGAAAAATATAGAATAATAATTGTTTTTTCTTTACAGTAGGAGCACACAATGGTGACCAAACTCAGGTAGGTCGCTTGCAAGTTGCAAGATACGTGAGAAAATGACGAGCATATAAAAACCGGTAAAAACGTGTGACCCGGTTAAAAATTGTGACCCGGGTTACACATCTTATGTTTTCAATGAAAAATCGTGGCTAACAGTGACGGATTTAGGATTTTTATTCTGGGGGATCCAATCTTAAATACAAAATAACGAACTTGTAGTTTAAATCAAAACGCTCATTTCATATAAAAATGTGTTTACTTATAAACATAAACTAGTACAGATCCCGTGCGATGCACGGGGTACACAAAATTAAGGCTATTTATCAAGTTTTATAATTATATAAATGAATAAAGAAAAATATACAGAATATATATAGTACGTGACCTGTAATAGGCCAAAATGTGAACACGGCTGATGCACGGGGTGCACAATTTTAAGATCATTTATTAGTACAGAGTCCGTGCGATGCACGGGGTGCACAATTTTCTAGTATGTGTAATACAAATACATACCGTATGCACGGGACAGAAGCACTAAATGAGTTATTTCCACATAGCTTGCCGGTTAAGTAGCTCCTGAACACGGGTGCACAATTTGTAGTACGTAATATCAAATCAGAACAGATTTCCATACAATTAGATAATAAATTAGATAATAAATAAAGTCTTTTTATTTTAATAAAGATTTTACGTACTTTTTTTACTTATCGGATGTTATGGGATTTTTTTTTGTTAAACCGATTTTATCAGATATGATACAAATACAATTAGAGGATTACACAAAATCAGAACAGATTTCTATACAATTAGATAATAAGAATGAATTAGATAAGGAAAATGTACAACTGAAAAAGTTACAACCAATTGTATGGAGAATTAAACTAAATCCAATTTTGTAGGATGCATTAAATATTGATTAAATTTTATATGTAAAATAAAATAAAAAAATAACTGGAATAGTTGTAAGTGTTGCAATATTTTATATTGAAAAAAAATAAAAAATCTTCATTTACGTATTGCATACCTACATTTTAGGAACTACATAGATATTCCTAAATTAATATTGCATACCCAATATTTTAGGAACTAATTAAATGCTAATTTGATTTGCATACCAAAAATATTAGATGCATTAATTAAATGATGGATAAAAATAGCAAATCATTAATTAGGGTTGACTATTCTACATACTACATTTAGTAAATAGTACCCCCTTTAATATAAGTATAGATATCGGTATATGTAACATCAAGTTTTAAGAAATTTAGAATCTATATCACCATCAAAATTTTACAAAAATAAACAAAAAATAAGAGATTTCATCTATTTATAATTTAATTTCAACATCTATAATTTATAAAAAAAATAAGTTTTTTGATTTAAAATTGATTTAAATTTAACATGTACAGCACGTTGCATTGCAATTTTGTTGATTAGAGCTTATCAAATTAAGTAGTTATAGTAATTGAAGCTAAGAGTTTTATGATGATCTGAAAAATCTACGTCCAAAGACAAAAAACTCACGAGGATAAAGAAGCATGCTTAAGTGCAGAAATTAAATTTATTTATTTATGTTCTTTTTATTTAAGTTTGTAAAGTCCAATCATTTTCTATTCATAATGCTGCGGCACTCCAAATACCATAGACCAACTATTCCGAGTTGGTCAATTTTCCCAATTTTCCCTTATATCTCTTTATTCTTTTTACATTAATTGTAATAAGGAGTCAAAATTTGTCAATTTTGATCAAGTCAACCAATCAACTTTTGATGAGGTTAAATTTTAAATTTAAAACAAAAATATGTATTTTTACTCATAAGAGACATACTTTAATTGAGGTGTTAACTGGAAAATATTGTATATTAAATTTATATGATAAAAAAGCATAGCAATATAGAAATACAATTAGGAGAAAAGAACATAATTTGACCCATATTGGCTGGCCGCCTCCTTACCACATTAGTATTGCATCTCGACCAACCAATGTTTTTATTTTTAATTTTTTTATTTAATTGTTTGTTTATTCCTTTTGCTTTGCCTATTTAAATCATTCATTCTCTGGTCACGTACCAAAAATATTTCATCTGTCTAAACAGTATTTTTTATACAGATTTTATTATTTTCTCTTTCTTCTGTTATTTGGTGCAGGATTTATTGGCTCTTTAGGCCTAGCTTCATTTCTTACGGTTGAGGTAATTTTCTCTCTCTCCCGATCACTAAATTAGGTTTAAAAGATAACTAATTCCTCCTTTTCTGTTATCATTATTTATTTTCTAAAAAGAAGTACATTTATTGATATTGTATTTACTGACATATCTTTTCGATATGTATATGTTTTGTGCTAAATATTCTCACTCGTAGATTCAAGATTATTATTTTCCGAAATAATTTACTGGCATTTACTTACACGAATGTGATGGTATAATTCATCTATCATTATATAAAAAGAATAACCTTTTTACAATTTTAGAAATGTTTTCCTGCCAAATTCATTAAATGTATCCTATATATAGTAATTGTTGGACAATATTGATAAGCCAACAAAATCGGCAGATTAATTGTGTTAGAATCTGTTTTCTTTTTTCCGTATTGAAAATCGCGTTATAAAATCTCATAGCATCAATCTAGAGTTTATCTCTTATCTGTTACAAGATCTCATAGCAGAAATCAGAGTTTATCTCTTATCTGTTACAAAATCCCATTGCATATATCTCACGAGTTTAAAAAATCTCATCTCTTATCTATAACGATTTAAAAAAATAAAATAAAATAAAAACCAATTCATAATTGCTAATAAAAATCCATTATCTACCTTAAAAAGCTAATTTTCATCGGTCTAATTACTAATATTTTTACAAATATTATAAGCTAACAATACATCTTCTCTTATCTATAACGATTTAAAAAAATAAAATAAAATAAAAACCAATTCATAATTGCTAATAAAAATCCATTATCTACCTTAAAAAGCTAATTTTCATCGGTCTAATTACTAATATTTTTACAAATATTATAAGCTAACAATACATCCTCGATAATTTTCATCGGTCTAATTACTAATATTTTTACAAATATTATAAGCTAACAATACATCCTCGATAACAACGTAAAAGGCCATAAATTCGGTATCATTTGACATAATGTCTTTTTTAAATTATGCTTATAATATTTTAGATATTTTAAATAAATTGTTTAAACATTTTTTTTACATATTCGTCTATATATATATATATATATATATATACATATACACATATACATAATTGATGTTAAATTTAAATATTTGTAAAAATATTTTCTTTACAAAATAGTCTAGAAAAATCTTTTTTACACAATGTTAAATTCAAATGTTTTTAGATATGTTTTCCTTTTAAAATTGTTTAGAAAAGTTATAGGTGACTTCACATCTTTCAAAAAAAATATAGAAAATTTTGAGTACTTTTACATATACTAATATAATATTTTAGGTGTTTTTAATATTAAACATACAAATTTTATATTCTCTTATACAAAATAGTTTTACATTGTTTGACCCCGAATCTTTAGTTTATAATTATTAAGTATTGTTTATCCTCTTCTTTAATTTATAATTATTTATTTTCTTTCCCTTTTTAAATAGGATCAATAGTAGTTTCCACTTCTACCATTGAGTGACTCAAACTCGAAGTCTATTTATATTATTGTTAATTTAATATTGTTCCCGTGCAACGCACGGGGTACACACTAGTTTTGTTGTAAAGATTATTGAATAAGCGTACTTATCTTATTGAAAATGACTCTTAAATCTACATGAATGTTATACAAACGACTCGTGGACACATCAAACATGGATGGAGGATTAGTGGTTAAATCAGAATTTAAACAATGGACATCTATATAATTGCTGGTAAGTTTCAATAAAATTTATTAAGGCACCAATTAATATAGATAGGACTTCATTTAATAATCTTTATGACCAGCATTCAAATGACAGTTATATAAGTAAAACCTTATCATTATTAATTTTTTATTCTGTAACAGCTTTACAAGATTTTAAATTTTCTGAATATTCAATATTAAATTATTTTACAGCTAATATTCCTAATTTGTATTATAATTATACAATAATGAAAAAAAACAAAAAACTGATTATATGAAAGTTAAATAATTTATATTTATATTATATATTTACATATAATCAAAATTTTAAATGTAATACGCACTTTATCTTATTTAAATTTTTAAATATCATATACTTACATATAATATATAAAATTTTTATTCTCTCTGTGCATGTGCACATAATCGAATATTAGTACATATAATTGCTAGCACACAACATTAATAAAAATATATTGATCTCCCTCCAGAAGACGTTACGACTTATATATTATTATTTTATTTATTTTTCTATATAAAGAGAGATGGACTAAAAATTAATAACATTTTTCCACTCCTTTTTTCATTTCATTATGGAAGTTGACTGTTAATTTTGTATTAATTAATTGCAATAATATTTTTTAACATACTTATCACATAATATTTACTTACTAATATTAGGCTATTAACCAATTATAAATTCACACTAAAAAAATATGAAAATTATACACCTATAACAAAAATTTATAGAATTTTTTTTCTTCAGTTTTTTTTTTCTTTAATAAAATTAAAATTAACATCACTATTTTATTTTTATCTCATTAAGGAGTTTTTTAATTACTAATTGGTTTAATGGAATAACAGACTCTTTAAAACTGCATAAATAACTTTAATATAATAATAATAAATTTTTTTTTTTCAACCAACTAATTGCACTACAAGAAAATGATGAAATTCCAATAAAAAATTCCAAAGGAATATATTCCAATAAAATCCCAACAATAATTCCGATGGATACTCCAATGCTATTATTTCCGTTGGAATATTCCAATGGATTCCAAAGAAAATTCCAACAAAAATGTTCAGAATTTCCGTTGGATTTTGACGATTCTAACAGTAAATTTTCTAACGGGGGTGGAAATAAAAGTTTCAATGGTAAAAAATCATTGAAAATATAGTTGACGGGATCATCAAATTCTATTTAAAATTCCAATGAAAAACTCATTCCAACAGAATATTTTCGTTGGAAATTATATTGGAATCATTACAACGAAGCTATGTCATTGCAATTATTGTTATTTTATTATTATTATTATNCCTATTTATAATTTATAATTGTTTAAATTAAAAAAAATACATGAATACTAATTGTTTGTACTTAATTAGACAATTGCCACACCATAATTAACAGGGACTCGGCTCAAGTAGCTTGTCACTCAACCAATTGAACTCTTCTTAGAGCATCCATATTAGTTAATTTTTTTCTATTCGTTCAATCAAAAAGTTACACTATCTCACATCTACATTATCTCTACATAATCTTTCCACTAATTCTCTCTCCATTTAAACACACACTCACATTCCTACACATTCATTTAAATACAAATATGAGACCTATTATATCAATTATATTCAATATAAAAGATATATATAAAAAAAAACAAAAGCAGCTACAAAAAAAATGAAAAAAAAAAAAGGCTCAAAAGAGCCGTTAACAACATTGAACGGTAATAAAGGCCCCACCCATTAATGAATGATTGCATTGGTTGAATGGGGACCGAAGCATTTAAATGGGATGCATTAACGGACCAATGTGGATGCCCTTATGGCTAAACCACCCTAAGCGCATGTGACGAGAACAATTTTGAAACTATCAAATTAACAAATTCGAAAAGATTTTAGAATGCAAAGTAATATTATAAATCGATTTTGTTGATCGAAAAAACATTATCTTGAAAAAAGTAATTGTATTCTCGAAAAAAACTGGGTAAAAGCATGCATAATTTGACACAATTAATGTAACCGAATTGTTTTGTTTCGAATTGTTCTAAAGTGAAAACAATTCGGTTACATTAAATAACAACTTTAGAACATCATAATTCAACATCCTAGCAAGACGGCTAACAGAACACAACTTACATTAATTAACAAATTTAGAAGTCCGGTTTATGTAAACGCATGCATAATTTGACAAATTATTCTCTTTCTTTGAGGCAAAGCTTTTTATTCACTTAATTATTAAAAAAAAAAAAATCTAACAAAGCATCATAAATAAGCAAATATTTGACAGGGAGATACTTAATTATTACACAACTCTTCAATGTTTTCAACACCACTCTAATGTTGCTTTCCCAACAGAGTTGACCCCTTGAGAAAACAGTTTTCTACTACATTTTATTAGTATTATTCCCCAAAATATTTTAATTTTTGGCCATTTTAGTATTTCCCAAATATTTTACAATAACCCAATCTCCATCACCTAATCAACCAAACACCCCTTATAAAGACACAATCCCAGTAGCTTTTGTTCTAACAGTACCACTCATCAACCTAAAAAAACATCCCATTTTTCCCAGAAAGAAAGAAATCAAATTGCAAAAAAAAATGATACCATTTGAAAACGTTGGGAAGAATCAGACAAATACCAACTCATTCCACGACTCTACCAATTATATAAAAGGAATAAGAAACTCGTAAAACCAGTCATAAGAATACAGGGGTGAAGAGATAAGCCAATGAGCAGAAAATAAATCATTACCTTCTGCTCAATCAAAGAAACTTTAAGAACTTTCTTGTCCACTTCTCTCTTACTACATGAAATATAGTTCAAGCTCAGTGACAAATCACATATCTTCTTAACATCTTCCAAATGAAAATAATTTAAAAAGATAAAAGAAAAAAAGTGTTTTAACAACTATGAATCCTAATCCAAGATTTAATAGCAGAGAGGTCACAATGAGGGACATTAGAAGTGTGGCAGGTGCGTTGCTTCAATAACAGAACTCACAGATCGCGAACAGTTTGACTGAAAGCCTATTTCATTTCACCCATCTTGGGGATGGAGAGAACCAAAGTCAGCTTAATCTCTCTGAGTTAATTGCCTGCACATTCCAAATGCATTGAATATACTCCAGTTGACATTTCAGCAAATTTATTCCCGTGTTGTCAAATTTAAAGCTTCCTGAAAGATGATTAACAATCAAATTTGAATTCAGGAGATACAAATTCCACTAACTAATTTGGCTCGACAACATAACAGAGATCAAAGTCACAAGGTAAAATGATATTTTCTACAAAAAAAACTCCAGTCAATCCAAAAAGACCAATTAACAGGAATAAAAAAAAAGGAGAAAATCAGTATCTAAGAGATTTTATACAGGCACCATACACAACAAAAAGACAATGCACTAAAATTGATCGAATATGTTNGGAACTATAAGTTAGAAATCCAAATTCTCACACACATAGCTGAGCAATATTAGATCTAAGTATCCAATAAAAAAAACTGAAGATCCCAACGATTATCATGCATTGGAAAATATAAATGTATTGAGAAAAAGGATGATACCGACAATTCAAAGCCTCCTCCATGGAGGATGATGGGCTCGAACACCCTGCAGTGGAGGATCTCGGGCTGGATCGGCTCAATTGGGACGCCGTTAATCTTGGTCAAGTCGCATTTGCATCTGTGGTGGGTGACCTTGACTGACATTTTTTTATGGCTGAAGGAAACAAAAACAATGCATATGTAAAATTTATTATCCAAATGCAACATCTAAAGGTAAAGTAAGCTCTATCAAGGAAGACACCTCTAAGGTGACCAGGAACATCACAGAATATAGACCAAAAAACAACTACATCAACAAAATATCTAGCTAGCACCCTGTATACCCAAACTCAATGAAGTAATCAGAGTTTCAACTCCAGAAAACTTGCAAAAAGCATCAGGTTAAACAAAAGTGTATCCATATGATGAACATAGTTGTATTCTTCTTTATACTAAAACTGCAAAACAAAATGAAGTGGTACACTTGAATTTGTAGTATTATGCACGAATAGTAACAGATTAGGAAGGATGCAATTAAAAGATTTTGCACACCTCTTGCCAAGAAACTGCCTCATTTGAGATTCCCGACGGCCACAGAGTAACTGCCCCTCAATTTGCTCACCTCTTTCCAAGAAATTGACCCATCCGAGCTTCCCAATGGCCCAAGCATAACTTCTCTGCACATAGAATTAGAACTGCCCCTCAAGAATTCAGTGCTCTTCTCACGTAAGATCTGCACAAATTCCTCATCTGATAGATGATTATCCTGCATTTGGAGAAACAAAAATAAGAAAAGGGGATGAACGACATAAGCAAGCAAGTACTTTATATACACGACAATCATCCGTCCACTTGACACTTGACAAAGCTACCAAAGTTACTTATGAAATTATTCATGAACCCAGAAAGTATAAGTGTTATGAAACTCAAAAACTAACCAAGATCGTGAATAGCCTCTCACGTGCCCTCCTCATAGTCTTTGGGGTTAAAGTTAATATCATCATCAACACCACGGAACTTTACCGCAGTTGTCATAAGTCCTGATTGCTTGGAAAAAAGATAAACTAATTGATCAAGAGTTCCATCAAACTAATTAGAAAAAAAAAAAAAAAAAAATACGAATCCCAGTAAAAAAAAATCACCGTCGCTGCAATATTAGCATCAATCCACCTAAACAGAAATCCATCCCAAACATCATCAATATTGACCCCAAATTCCAAAATATTGAAGGAAAATGAAGCTAATCAAATTTCCAAAATTAAAATTAGTCATTCATACCAAAATAAGCCTTTTCATGCAGTTTCTGCACCAAAAATCAAGCTATAACACAGAATAAATAAAAATCGATTAAAGCAAAATAAATAAAAAAGGAATAAAGCCTGCAAATTGGATCATATATGGGACTCATACAGACCGGTCCGCATATGTCTGCAAACTCCTCAACCGGGGCTCGACTCTTACTCCCTTGCACATGATGCACCTCCATTAGCAGTAGGACACAATCGAAGGGGACATCTGTGACCCGACCCGATGAGAACAACTTCTAGATCACCATACCTTGCTCGCCGCAGCTGAATGCGAGGTCGGTCCACGCATCATAGTTGCTGGATGCGGTTTCCTCCTTCTCTGGTGACAGTGTCTTCGAGCCTTCTGTAAAATCACTTCATCAACACAAATTTGCTTAAAAAGATGCAAAATAAAAGCTATAACTGCTAATAGTGTTGAAGCAAAGGCCTCCGACTGGACACAACAAATGAACCCACGATTTATGGGAAAAGATGTGGCAAAGTCTAATTTTGTATAACCACATTTGTAAAAGCATTAAAAGATGAAAAAGTCCATATTTACGGAAATTTTTTCACAGAGAATCAATTACCACCCGTACCACACCTGAAAACCTAACTCAAATCTATAGACCAAACAACCCACGACTCGGAAAAAAATACATATTAACCATGAACCACAAACACCACACACCACCCACAAAAAAAAAGGCAAAAATGTGCTTATATTTTGATATACCAACTTAATCTATCTATTGATTTCAAGTAACACGACAAACAAAACTCCTTATTGAACCAAAGTAAACCTTCAATTCATCAAAACCAAGCTACCCAAATAACCAATTTGTTTCCTGAAAAAACAAATCGGACAAAGAACACAGAAATGCAGAAATGCATGACTGATTGGTATATGGTCTATGAGTAACAGTAAAAATACCTCCCTGATGAAATGGATAAGGGGATGTGTAGCTGTGGCGGAAACACGGATGCCAACAAACTATGATCTCATTAGCTTCTACTACACACCACCTCCCTGAACTCATAAAAAACAAAAAAAGAGTGAACTTGGAAATTTAGAATAAAAGAAAGGACAACGGAAATAAAGAAAATGAACAAAAATCAATTCCATAAGCTTTGAAAATGAATAACTACCTGACACTCTCCCAGGCCACAGAGGCACCCAAACCTGCCATGGCACCCCTCGTTCCATCTTTGGGCGATTTAGTGTGTGGTTAATGCAAAAATCAATATCAATAGAGAGATACAGATGAAATAGTCCCTGCACATGCCTTCAAAAAACAGGAAAAAAAAAAAACAAATAAAATAATGAAATCATTTCCGCCATTAATTATGTCGAGCTAATCTGAATAACAAAACGACGGCAATTTTGCTATACAATATGTGAACATGTACTGACAAATAAAGGTTATAGGTAGAGAACCAAACCTTGCTAGCCGCAATTATATGTTGGGTCGGCTCGTCGTTGCTGGAGGCGGTTTTTATTTTCTCCAGCGACAGCGCCACCGAGGAGTTTTGACCTAGAAACACCACTTGTTAAGAAAACTTGTCCTGCTCCAAAAACAGATAAAAAAAATAAATTGACGAGGAAATCCACAAGCACCTGATATGTGATGCCGCCTCCGTCAATCCGAGTCGGCGTCCGCCGCACCGTGTAGTCGCGCTGCGGCCATCGGCCCAAAAACCCCCGGTTGCCACCGGCCCACCGGTCACGGGCACGGTCTACCCAGTTCAACTACCACCATCGGTTCTGGGGTCTGTCTTTATGGTGGAATTTTAGAGAAATGAAAATAACCATCGTCGTCATCAGTCTCTGCGGTGGAATTGTAGAAAAGGACATTTTTCAATCTTGCAAAGGAATGGAGAAGAAATCGATAAGGGTAGGTAGAAGGAGAGACTTGCGGTTGCGTGTGTGCTGGAATTCTGCCGAAGAAAGGAAAAGCTGTCAGATAAAAATGACGATATTATCCTTGAAAAGGCATTTTAAAGTCGTAGTTTAGTCAAGGAAGCAGTTAGCAAAACAGCTTTAAAACGGCGTCGTTTTCATTCAAATTGGAGCCTTTCAGCTATGCCACGTGTCGGCAAACAAAGGGCTCATGCTGTTTTGTTATAAGATAGAGGGAGATTAGTCTACTATGTTGATATTGTTATCACAAACAGTACAAGAGTTCTTATTTGGACCACAAACTGAAACAGTACAAGAGATCTTCTAAAACTATAATTTTTTAGTTCAATGCAATGCAATGTTTATTTTTTATATAATTTTTTATATAACATTGCTTGAATGCAATGTTTTATAGTTCAAAAAAAAAATATATATATATATATATAATTTTTATTTATATATTTTTAATTAATGGGTGGTTGAGGTAGCCTGAATGCGTGTATTTATTTTTTTTATATGATATATAATGTAGAAAAATAATATGATCTGAAGCCCAACATTCATGACGCCACCTTAACATTAAATCATATCATGCCATATTATTTTACAAATCGAAATAAGAATATACATTTTGTGATGAAAATGCCAATATAATAGACTAAATTCAATAATTTGAAAAGTTATTGGGCCATATATTAAAAAAAGATATTTTTTTTATTAATATGTAGTTCATTAATTAAATAAAAAAAAAATGCATAACTTTGTCACGTCATATTTTGCACTATTTGACTAATATATAGCTCGTACATTGAAATAACATCTAAATATTAGGTTATCTCACCTAATAATTTATGTTGAGACAATGGTTTTTACATTGAAATAACATCTCACCCAACAACTTATGATGAGATAATGTTGAGTGATGAGTAGGGCTACACACGAGTCAAGCGGTTCGCGAGCTCGCGCTCGAGTTTGACCGAACTCGATTCGAGCTCGAGCGGCTCGACATATATAGTAAATTACTAAAATACTATTTGTATATATATGTATCATAATATTAATATATGTACTTAATGATAATTTTACGAAGTTGCTTGAAAGTTTTTTAATCGAACTCGAGCCGAGCTCGAACATTTTGAATTCGAGTCGAGTTCGAGCCTAAAAAATCAAGCTCAACGAGCTCGAGCAGTTAAAAAAAAAAAATTTCAATCCTGCTCGATAAAGCCAACACTCGACTTGGTTTGACTCGTTTGCAGCCGTAGTTATAAGCACCAATGCCTTCATTCATAGTTTCATTATTATTATTATTATTTTTTATTATAATTAACCATAAAATCATTGTATTTTAGGGGCAATTGATAAACATAATCGGTAATAATTTACACGGAACAATCACATTTTTCAAATATAATATTTAACACTTCACAAATTTATTCTTATTTATAGTTTTGTCACATATTTTTTTCCAACAAAAATTGGATGACTCCGTATTTGTTCTCTTAACTATATGTATGAAGTGTGTTTTATTTTTGATTGGGTGCGTCATTTTAAATTATACAAAAAAAAATTATTAATATTTAATTCATTAATTAAAATTTGAGAAAGAAAATATATAAAAAAAATTGCATATTTCTTCTTTGCGTCTTTTATGATCAAAATGTCAGTAATTACAAAGTTGGATGATAGTATAACATAAGGCATCATTCGTGGAAGGAGACCAAAATTAGTGGATGATTTGTAATATTTCTCTTTTATGCGAGAAAATTGCATAATTTTTCGTAGAGTCTTTTATGATAAAAATGTCAATATATAATTACAAATTTGGATGATAGTATAACATAGCGCATCATTCGTGTAAGGAGGCCAAAATTAGTGGATGATTTGTAATATTTCCTTTTTATGTTAGAAAATTGCATAATTTTTCTTTGCCCAAAATTAGAGGATGATTTGTAATATTTCTATTTTATGTGAGAAAATTGCATAATTTTACTTTGCGTCTTTTATGATCAAAATGTCAATAATTACAAATTTGGATGAAAGTATAACATAGCGGATCATTCGAGTAAGGAGGCCAAAATTAGTGGATGATTTGTAATATTTTCTTTTGATGTGAGATTGTCTAAACGGTCAGACATTACACTTTGTGAACAAAAATTTATATTTATATTATCAAATTAAATATCATACTTTTTTTAAATATTATTTTTTTAAAGAACTAGTAAAGTGCACGTGCGATGCATGTGGTGGCGAATGTTTTTTCCCAATTGAGTTTAGTAAAATAAATTAATTAATTTATTAAAAATATCGTTGCAATAATGAAATAAAACGTAGAACAAATGAGCTCATAATGTAATCATTTTTTGCCGATTAAGTTTTGTAAAATAAATAAATTTATTAAATATATCCTTGCAAGAATGAAACAAAATGTAGAACAAATTAATGAAACAAAATATAGAAACAAATTATTTTTTCTAAAATAACTTAACGATGTCCTAATATAAAAATAATTAAATAACATATTACAACCTCAACAAAAACACTAATAACTAAATAATGACTAATATATATTATACATGCATTAGTTCTTTTATTTGTTTATGTTAGATGATTCGATAGCGTTCTCTTTCATTTTGGTTTTGACGTCCTCATAAGAAGCATTATTGATTCAATAGTATTGCAAAATTCATCTTAATTCATTTGGCAAAACGTCTACTTTATTCAAACACTTAAGAAATATTCTAACCAAACATATAGTGAAACTTCATGGTTGTATTATCTTTATATTTCTACTAACCATGCATGAATATATCTGCAAAATAATAAATCGTGTCATTAAAATTGTTGATTATTTTTTATCATTGTATAAACTATTAAATTACTCTCTCTATATATATCGACAAATTATTGATACCTACCCCATGGATGTATCTCCCTACGGAAGGGAATGAATTTCATCTCTAAATAAAAGTTGACTATTCAAAATATCTATTACATGTACTTTTCCCGAGGTTTTTTTTTTAAATCATCACACATTAACTAAAAGTTCATACTATAAAATAATTGCACATATGTTCAAGCACAATACACCAATGAAATTATAAATATTCCTATAAGAAGTGTCAACTTCATTCAAACATTCAAAAATGTTTTGATCAGGCTCCAACGTTTCATTTTCAATGTCATTTATTTGGAAGATAGACGAACTATATAATCTATTGTTTGCAAATCATTGACCATCTAGTTCTTGCAATGATTTTAGAATTATTTATCTTCATATCTTTCACATTCGTTTGGATTTGTAATATTTATGTGTCCAATAACTTTTTAATGCTTTTATCGTCCAACTTTATGCATCATACATAATACTCAAAAAAACTCGAGATAAAGTTCCTTTCTTGATTCTTCACCAATGACAAAATCAAACAAAACAAAACAATGAGACAACATTGAGAAGCATATCATTTGTTAAAATATTTGAGATGAGAAGAATTAAAATTCTATTTTATGACTCTTAGTCATCTTTGAACGTTATTATTACGAAATCATTATTAAAATCTACATTATGTATTATAAAGTTTTAAATTTTTAATTATTTAAAATTAAAAATTGATAATATAGGATCATTATTTATGAGATCCAATTTCTTACAGAGTCCATATATTTAAACGCTAGCAACAAATAAAGTATTATTTTTAAAAGATTTTTTGTTTCTAAATATTGGTATTCATACTTGTCTAAGAAAATTCAGACGTTTTCTTTTTTCAATTCCATTACTATTATTTTATTAGTTTTTATTTCTATTGATAAATAATACTTTATTTATTAAACGAATTCTAGCACATTTATATGTATTGCATCATTTTTTGTACGTGTTTCATATAATGACGTTGTTATCAAAATATCTTATTTATTAGACAACAACTAATATAATCACATAAGATAAAATAAAATTTAATATTACTTATTTATATATTTATAATAATAATATATTTAATAAAAAAATATACTTTTATACTGATTATTAGATTAAAAGGTTTAGAATTTTTTCCCAATGTTTGAGAAAAATATTAAGCAACTAACTCATTTTCATACTCATTGAATTTATGTGTTAGTTGAATAAAATTTCACATACAACTCGTTTATTTCTCCTTTTAATTCACATAGTTAATATTGGTGATAGTTGTATATTTACATCCATTTTTTGTTTTTTCTTAGTATGAATTTTCGGATCTATGTAAGAAAAATATGCCACAAGGAATCTAATTCTAGCAAAAATATTTTATTGGAATCATGAGCAGATCTATGTTTATTTTATAGATCCGACACAACCCTCCATCCTAAAGCATATAGCGTAAGGAATCTAATAAAAATTTGTGGGAACATTTTTTCATAATTTTTATCATGTCCCATATTTTAAAAATGAAATTGAAAGAAATAAAGATACATAATGAATTAATTCACAACTCAACCAATTATAATTTAATTCAACTCATAACTTTATTAATGTTATAACATAAACGCGGCATCACAACTAAAGAAAATATAATATATCTCAAAATTACAATTTTATCCTCTAATTATATTATTTCAATCTTGATGACAGTTTCAAATCTCTCTTTTGCAACATATTTTTTTCTATATCTTCAAAATATATTTTTTATGTCTTTTATAACTAATGCAAGGGGAATTCTAGTTATATATTTGTAATTTATAAATTAATAAATTATATTGTCGAGTCAGCTATACTACAACATAGATTTTTTGTTTATAATTTTTTTTAAAAAAATATTATTTTCAATGATTTTCTTATGTTGAATTGAGAAAAATCGTCATTTTTTTTATTAAATACTTTTTAACTTATTGTGACTGTACTAATGTGTTAGAATGTATTACAAGTTAGAAACATGACAAATTATGTAAAGTATAATTTATAAATTGTAATGGCATTATGTTATTTTGATGGTATACTTTTTCTATTAACTATATAGTGCCCAATATAAAATTATTTTGGATCCGCCACTGCAATTAATTTTTCAATGGAACTTCTATTAATTTTTTTACAATTTGAATGACAGTTTTTTCAACGGTTGAAATACGATCCGTAAAAAAATTCAACAGAGATTCAAACAATAATAAATTATAGTAATTGGAATGATTTAATTCATAAAATTTTCAATGTAATTTAATTTGTTCTCTGTTGGAATAGTTAATGAAATTTTCCAATAAAAACTTTACCAATGAAATATCCGTTAAAATTTTCTTTGGAATATCTTATAGATGCATTTTCCATTGCAATATACCAAAAAATTTTTTGTGTTCCTTCTTAAACATTATATTTTAGGTAGTAGTTAATGAGTAACTGTATTTACAATTTTTCTAATAACATACATTAAACACATGAACTTTTTAATCCATATAATTTTTTTAAGGTAACTCATTATTTTATCTCAAGATTACCTAAGAAATTCCCAATTGAGTTACATTTATTACATATTAAATGTTAAATAATTAAAATAATTATTATTTATATATTTAATATGATATATATATATATTATATGTAAAAAGCCAATAGCAAATAAATAGTAATTTAAAATTAGAATAATCAAGTATTTTTTTTTCCTAACCTACATGGATAAAGGTAAAAATAACTATTGTATATCACCTAAAAGTTACATATAGAATTAATAAGTACAAAAATTAAGAAGCATTTAACAACCCTGCTCGTTTACATTGATAAATATAAGTTTTAAAAGGTTTATGTTTACTTTTATTAATTATAACATATTTATTTATTATTTTTTAATATTTATAGTACGTATTACAACTTAGTAATTTTTAATATCATTTTTCAGATTTAATATTATTTTTTTATTTTATATTGTTCTTTCATATGTTTTTAAAGTTTGTATTTGCTTAAAAATTCATAATATTATGTATAGAACTTTTTCGGTCATATGTGTTAATATATCAATTATTTGTATATCTTAATATTATATTATATACAATTACAGTTTTCTCTTTAATATTATAATCAATTATTCATAATTTATAAATTAATTAACAATATTGTCGAGTCAACTATACTACCACATAGATTTTTTGTTCATAATATTTTTAAAGAATATATTATTTTGGTCATATGTGTTAATATATAATCTATTTATATATCTTAATATTATATTATATACAATTACAATTTTCTCATTAATATTAGAATCAATTAGTCATAATTTGTAAATTCATCAACAAATTGTCGAGTCATCTATACTACAACATAAATTTTTTGTTCATCAGATTTTAAAAGATATATTTTTTTCAACGATTTGCTTACTTTTAGTTGAGAAAAATTATTTTTTTTTTAATACTTTTAACTTATTGTAACTGTAAAGATTTGTAAACATGTATTACAGATGAGAAAGATGACAAATTTTAAAAAGTAAAATTTAAATATTGTAATGACATTATGTTATTTTGATGGTATATTTTTTCTATTAGCTAAATAGTGCCCCCAATGAAATTGTCTGTGTCTATCACTGCAATTAGCTTTCCAATGCAACTTTCATTGATATGTTCCCAAAAAGAAAATTCACACAAGAAATAAATAATGGTAACTCGAATCATTAAATCCATTAAAATTCCATTATAATATAATTTGATCTATGTTGGAATAGCCAATGATATTTTCAAATGAAAGCTATGCAAATGAAATATCCTTTAGAATTTTTAGTGGAACATCTTATCGTTGGATTTTTCATTGCAACATAACATTTATTTTTTGCATTCCTTTTTAAATATTAAAATTTTTATGTTGTAGTTTTTCTATTAATTGATTGCGTTTATAATTTTTTCTATTAAAAATATATTAAACACATGAACTCTTTAGTCTAAATAACTTTTTAGAAATCACTCGTTATTTTAACTCAAAATTACCTATTAATTTCTCAATTGAATTACAACCTTTTTACGTATTAATATTAAATAACGAAAATAATTATTATTTTATATTGTAATATGATATATATATATATTATATTAAAAAAACTAATAGCAAATAAAAATTTATTTAAAATTAAAATAATCATTTTTTAAATATTAAAATTTCCAACCTACATGGATAAAATTACAAATAACTATTATCTATCACCTAAAAGTTACACATGGAATTAATAAGCACAAAAAATAAAAGTAAATAAACAATTCGATTCATTTACATCGATAAATATAAGTTTTAAAAGTTTTATGTTTAATTTTATTAATTATAAAATTTTTATTTATTATTTGTTTTCATATTTATTAGCAAGCCTTACACCTTAATTATATTTTTAATGTTATTCATCAGATTTATTATTTTTTTAACTTTCAAATCATTCTTTTATTTAGCACACATCTTTAAAATCAATGGCTCATATAAAATAATAATAATTAAAATCTCATGATATTTTACTTAATTATTGAATGTAAAATTCATATATATTAAGTATTAATAATTAAAATATTACTCACCTTGATTTTAACCATTCAATGGTCAAGTGAAACTTCGTCAATTTTATTAACTTTGTGACTAAAATTGGAAAAAACAAACAAACAAACAAATGACGATTTTTGTGGGATCAAAATTCTATCCAGTAAGACTAAAGTGCAATTTCTATTCTAATTCTAAATATAAGATTTTACTTTTCTTAAATAATGAAGTAGTTAAATGAATTGTTCAACTTTTCTAGTTTGTCAGATAATGTATAAAATTATATTAAAAACAAGGATTTTTTTTAAAACAACAATTCTATATCTTTTCAAAACTTTATTGTTTAGGTTGATGTTAGGTTGATTTTTGGGAGATATGTGGAAGAAAGCAATTTCGTGAGAAATAATGGTGTGTGAATATTGTGTTTGATTTTTAGGAGATGTGAAATGTATTGTTCATGTATTTGTATTTAAGTAATTAAGCATTAGTTATTAATTAAAATTATAAGATATGATAGGTATTATTGTATTACTAATTTGTCATTAAAAACATGTTAAAGTAAGGGTTTTTTAGGTAATTCATTTTTTTAATTAAAAATATAAATTAAAATATGTATTACTGTATTACTAATTTGCCATTAAAAATATGTCAAAGTAAGGTTATTTTAGGCGGTTCATATTTTTACAAAAACACTCGTCCTTTTAGAGTAGTATAGATAGATATAGAAGATAGATAGATAGATATAGATAGATATAGATATAGATATAAATAGATATAGATATAAATATAGATAGATAGATATAGATATAGATGACATTTTACAATAAAAATATGTATATTTATGAAAATAGTATGTCAGTCTAATAATTAGAAATTAGATCAGATCGGCATAAAACAACGATTTATCCTCTTTATTTATGTACCCAACCGCATTACAACTATCGAACCCAAGTAATATTCGTTATTTTCAGTTTGATAATTAAGTATAGTGTATTTTTCTTTCCCCTGCCTAAGTATGTAACTTCTCAAATTTTCTCTCTTATTTTTACCCTCACAGTCAGTTTATGTAATCACTTCTCCTCGTATAATTCATAACATTATCTTTAAAATCATCATTTCATAAATCAATGTTGTTAAGTGTCAATATGCATGAATTAGGTTACTTATTCATTGCACTAAACTTTATATTATATTTTTTAATTATAATATGTTTGAAATGATACATAAATTTGCATAAAGGTAGAAAGAAGATGTGGAAACTCAAGATTGCTGAAGGCCATGGCCCTTATTTATACAGCACGAATAATTTCGTGGGTCGACAAATTTGGGAGTACGACCCAAACGGGGGAACTCCCGACGAGCGTGAAGCTTTTCAAAAAGCCCGCGAACAATTTGATGAGAATAGGAAGAAGGGATTTCATTCTTGTGGTGACCTATTCATGAGAATGCAGGTAAAAAAAAAAATATAATTAAATTTAAAGATGGGGGGCTCTACTTTTTATATTTGAAATATATTAGGTAAAAGTTTTTTNATTATGATCCATTCTCGAAAATAACAAAAATTATGATGTCACATAATGTATATGCATGTTTGTAAAATAAAGTATGATGATTGTACTTGTTTCATTGCCAGTATAGTTAGATACAATTTTTTTAATAAAAAGAATAATTCTTTTTATTCATTTATTTTTTATTCTCAATTTTATCAACCCAATTAAGAAATACTAAATGGATAGTTATTATACATTTTCAACAAAATTCAATATATATTTTTATTTATATATTTAGTTATTATACATTTTAACAAAATTCAATATATATTTTTATTTATATATTTTAATAAATAATTTATTTATATATATCAAATGCATTAACATTAATTATTTTATTTAATATCATATGCATTCATTCTTTGGCCTTTTCCTCAATAATTACAATGCCAAATTTCCAATGATTTGTGACTCCAATTGATTTAGAAATTCATTTTCATTTTAATTTTTAAATGCCCCTTCCATTTTCAGCTAAAAAAGGAAAGTGGAATTGATCTGCTGGGCACACCGCCAGTTAGAATCGGAGAAGACGAACAGGTGACGTATGAAACGGCGACAGTGGCCGTGAAGAAAGCTCTACGGCTCAACCGCGCCGTCCAAGCGAGCGACGGCCACTGGCCCGCCGAAAATGCGGGCCCCATGTTCTTCACTCCTCCACTGGTAACTGAGTTTTTCTTTTTCAGTTCGAAAAGCTAAATTCTGCTTCTAAATTGATTATTGCTCGCCCATGGCAGCTCTCACACTTTAAATCTCAAATTAATGCTCAAATTACCCCAAAATCATGAGAGTGATTCCGTTTTTTCAGATTATTGCTCTGTACATAAGTGGAGCGATCAACACGATTTTGACCTCGGAGCACAAAAAGGAATTGGTCCGTTACATCTACAACCATCAGGTGCATATGCATATGCACGCCATTTTTTTAATATTAAGTTAACTAAATTCATTTTTGTGGCTAAATTTGGAGTGTGTGTGTGTGTGTGTGTGCAGAATGAGGATGGTGGGTGGGGTTTTTACATAGAAGGACACAGTACAATGATTGGTTCGGCCCTCAGCTATGTTGCCCTGCGGCTGTTAGGAGAGGGGCCGGACAGTGGCAATGGGGCCATCTCGAGTGCCCGCAAATGGATCCTCGATCACGGTGGAGCCACCGGGATTCCCTCGTGGGGAAAAACCTATCTCTCGGTATATATGTGACTCTTGTTAGCTTCCTATAGGAGGATTTGACGTGTCGACATTTTACTCGGCTGACATGATTTGTCGACTATTGCTTTACTCATGTCCATATTCATTAAGATGATAAAGAAAAGTACTTAATGTGGCTTCTTACTTTTAAGGAAATTTGAATATTAGGTTCTGAATGCTTGTTTTTGTTTCTGAATGTTCATATTGCTTTGTGAATGTGGCTTCTTACTTTTAATGTCGAAATTTTTACTCGGCTGACATGGTTGTTTTTTGTTTCTGAAAGTTAGGTTCTTGGAGTGTATGATTGGGATGGGTGCAACCCACTCCCCCCGGAGTTTTGGTTGTTCCCTTCGTTTTTCCCGTATCATCCAGGTGATGATTTGAATTTTAATTAAGCTAAAAAGAGTTAGGAATTTAGCAGGTTGATTTGTTGTTCTGAAACCACAGGGCCTTTTTCGTTAACATTATTATTAAAACGTAAAATGCAGCAAAAATGTGGTGCTACTGTCGCACAACTTACATGCCCATGTCTTACCTCTATGGTCGAAAGTACCACGGACCAATCACGGACCTTGTTTTATCCCTCAGGGATGAAATTCACGTCAAGCCCTATGATCGGATAGATTGGAACAAGGCACGTCACGATTGTTGTAAGGTGATGCTTGCGACAATACAAAATGAGATAGTTATATAAAACCTGCCTTGAGGTTTTGAAGTAATTACAGAAAAAAAGATTGAAGCGTGTGTCTGTGAGAAATTCGGCGATTGTTTTACGAGTTTTGTCATGTCAGATATGTTGAGATTGCTGAAAGATTGCTTATGAAAATAACTAATATTTCATATGTACCTGTCCGAGTGCAGGATGATCTTTACTATCCGCATACATTCGTACAAGATTTGCTATATAAAACCTGCCTTGAGGTTTTGAAGTAATTACAGAAAAAAAAAAAAAATTGAAGTGTGTGTGTGTCTGTGAGAAATTCGGCGGTTGTTTTACGAGTTTTGTCATGTGAGATGTTGAGATTGATGAAAGATTGTTTATGAGAATAAAAAACTAATATTTCATATTTACCTGTCTGAGTGCAGGATGATCTTTACTATCCGCATACATTCGTACAAGATTTGTTATGGGACAGCCTTAATTATTTCACTGAACCGGTAATGAGACGTTGGCCGTTGAACAAGATAAGGCAAAAGGCTATGGATAAAGCTATCAAGTACATGCGCTATGGGGCTGAAGAGAGCAGATATATTACCATTGGGTGTGTTGAAAAGGTACGTGTTTTTTCAAGCTTTGCAGAAGTTATTGATCCTGACATTTGAGTATTGAATGAAGGTACTGATGATATAAGCATATTTGTTATAACAGAGTTTGCAGATGATGTGCTGGTGGGCACACGATCCAAACGGGACAGAGTTTAAACATCACTTAGCTAGGGTGCCCGATTATCTCTGGCTCGCAGAGGATGGCATGAAAATGCAGGTATTATTATTTGCTAAAATTATCTGTCTCGTTTAGCCTAATGACATATTTTGGGTTTATCTTTTGATTCTACAAAACAGCCTTCACATTTTGTTCCATAATATTTTTAAAGAATGGAATTTTATTAGCTGACCAGAGTTTTTAATTAAATGTGGCTAAATCTCGAAGTAACTTTTAATCAGTGGAAAAATGATTTGTTTTTATTATTTATTTGTAGAGTTTTGGAAGTCAACTATGGGACAGTACTCTTGCAACTCAAGCAGTTATTTCGACCGGAATGGTTGAGGAATACGGAGACTGTCTTAAAAAGGCGCACTTCTATATAAAAGAATCTCAGGTTCTATAAGCTGAAAACAAATATTTATTTTGAGCTATAAAGTCCATTTGTGTCACTAGAAATTCGGATCTCAATATGCATATTAACATGTGCAGATAAAGGAGAATCCTATCGGTGACTACAAAGGCATGTATCGTCATTTCACTAAAGGCGCGTGGACTTTCTCCGATCAAGATCAGGGTTGGGTCGTATCCGATTGCACATCTGAAGCACTTAAGGTAATTATATCGTTATTAATTCAGGAAACGAATTTTTTAAAGACAAGGACTACAAAGAAAAAAAAAGTAATTTGATGATAAAACTTTGTAAATATAATTGTTGCAGTGCCTGCTATTGCTGTCACAAATGCCGGCTGAAATCTCTGGAGAAAAGCCAGATGTTGAGCGCTTGTACGAGGCTGTCAATGTGCTTCTTTATTTGCAGGTATGAATTTCACCATGGACCATGGTGTGTGAACTGTGAACAATCTCTATAACTCACAATACTTTGTTGTAAAATAATGTGCACTAACTATATTATTTTGTTATAGAGTCCTCTGAGTGGCGGATTTGCCATCTGGGAACCCCCAATAGCGCAGCCATATTTGCAGGTAAAAAAAAAAATCAATTCATAATGTCGACTAAAGTTGAACCAAACATAACTGAACAAAATTCCAACTATTATTTGTTTTATTGTTTTTTCCAGGTTTTGAACCCCTCAGAACTTTTCGCCGACATAGTTGTCGAGCAAGAGTAAGACCCTCTCTGTTTTTGTTTTTTCGATTACATAAAACTAAGGGCGTGTTTGTATATAAATTTTTTCAATTCATACTCAAAATCTAACTCAACCTTTACCCAATACCACTATCCTTAATATTATCAAATCATACTCAATCCGTCATTTCTACATATTACTTCAACTTTAGTTCAATATTCATCCACTCACATTATTTTAACTAACCATCACTTCACATCATCTCTCTTACTTTTACATCAACTCAACTTTAATTATTTTATTTTAAATATATTATTTTAATATAAACTCAAACTCTCACTAACAACAAACCATACCATATTTTTCAAAACTTCCTCTGATTAACAAAAAAAAAAACTCATTTTGAGCGGATATATTTGTATCCAAGCACGCTCTAAACATCTATAGGACTCAAATCTTAATACCTTTGAATTTAATGTAATTAGGCATGTGGAATGCACGGCATCCATAGTCCAAGCTCTCCTATCTTTCAAACGCATGCACCCGGGCCATCGAGAAAAAGAAATAGAGCTGTCGGTAGCAAAGGCACTGCATTTCTTGGAAGAAAAACAGTGGCCTGATGGCTCATGGTGAGCCCCTAAAATATTTTTTATAAATTTATAAAAATAGAAAGTGAAGAAAATGATTTAAAAAAATACTAAAAAATTTATTAAGTATGCTCGTGTAGGTACGGCTACTGGGGGATTTGTTTCCTGTACGGCACGTTTTTCGTGCTCGGAGGATTGGCGTCCGCCGGTAAAACATATAATAACAGTGCAGCCGTTAGAAAAGGTGTCGAATTTTTTCTGTCGACACAAAATGAGGAAGGCGGGTGGGGTGAAAGCCTGGAGTCCTGCCCAAGCATGGTTAGTTTTATTAAAAAACATATGAGTTAGACCTTCAATAGTAGTTTCTTTTATTTTCTTCTTCTTCTTTCTAAAAAATATTCTAATAGTTTATTTTCGAAATTTAGTAGACAATTTGGTGATTTTGTGACAGAAATACACACCATTAGAAGGGAACCACACGAATTTGGTGCAAACATCATGGGCAATGCTTGGTCTTATGTATGGGGGACAGGTTGAATTTCTTGAATTTTTATGAAAAAGTATTTTTCTTGAATACATAAGTCTTTTTATTCAAATATATCTAGTTTTTTTTAAATTGTTAATGTTATGAAATCAGGCGGAGAGGGATCCGACGCCTCTGCATAGAGCGGCAAAGTTGTTGATTAATGCACAGATGGATGATGGGGACTTCCCTCAACAGGTAAACATATAATTTTTCCTTTTTTTTTTCCTGTATATTTCGAAACTGATGGCTCCGCAATTTTGAATTATGAACGAATTATATAACAAATTCATAATTACAGGAAATAACCGGTGTCTACATGAAGAATTGTATGTTGCACTATGCACAATACAGGAATATTTTTCCACTGTGGGCTTTGAGCGAGTATCGTAAACGAGTCTGGCCTTCGCAAAGCCTGTGAACAAACTATGTAAGCTTAATGCATATTCACAAACAGATGAAAATTGGCAAAGATGATGAAAAATATATATAGTACAATAATCAAGCTCAAAGAGTTATTTATTACGTACTCTTTTTTTTTTTCTTCTATGTACATTTGTGTATGATCAAAGACTAATTAATACCACTATTTACCAAAAGGGAATTACAATTGATGAAATTATTTAAGTTTTGGTTCATAATTTACTTTCATGTGAAACATGTAAATAACAAAGCTTAAGACAGTGACAGGGCGTGAAACTTTCCATTTGTTCTTTTCTATATTTTTGTTTCTATATGGATGTTATCTGCGTGTATGTAAAGACTTTACACTATCTGAACTTTGTAAGCCCACCGTACCAACTTGCTTGATTCATGGTATGTGAATAGAAAAAAATAAAAAATAAATAAAAAATGAGATAGAGATGAGAAAATAAAGGACATAAAGAGGTGAAATTTACTTCGTACTAGAATTCTTTGACTGCCCTCCGAAAGTTTTAGGGGCCCTTTTGCTTTGTGTAGTGCCTTTTGTCATGCAATGCAACTTGAACAATGGTAGCAATTATGTGTGTAATAGCACAAAAGAGTTAAAGAATGTGTGGTCAATTCATTTGGTTCATGACTCATGAGTTATGTTCAAGTCTTGCAAGAAAGCCGACAAAGACTTGTACAAACTAAGGAAGTTATTAGGATTTATTTGTACTCTATGCATTCATTGTTGTACAATATTAGTTAGTCATAAATTGTCATTTAGATAATAGCAACTTCTCGTATTGTATTAGTATAAATAGTCTTCCTGTAACCCTAATTCTATTCATTGAACACATTTTCATTTTCTCAACCGCAATACAATCTTTTCCTTTTTTTTCTCTCGGGTTCACAAACTCTAATAGAAGTAGAAGAAGAAGATAATTGAAGTTTGTTTTGCTCTATTTGCCTAGTGGAAAATTGACCTTATGAGTGTCTTTTGTTTTTATTTAATTGAATGAATGATGCGTATTAATTTAATTGAATTGGAACATAATTTTGAAATAGAATTTTTTTCCCGACCTGAATTAACGAGTAGCATTATTGTTAGAAAATAAGATAAAGCTCTAACAACGAAGTTCTATGGTTGATTTAACAATCATACAATTGCATAATTAAAATTTAGGCGAATTTTTTTTTTACACGCCAATAGCTCCGTGCACTTTTTTTTACACATTGTCTCATAAAAAAATTTTCTTTTCACCCCACAACTCACGATATTTTATGCGATATAACAATCACATATTCAAATGAACAACATAACTACAATTGTGCGAGATTTTGTCGTATATATACTAACGTATAACCAAATCGGACGTATAGTTAATAATTATATGAAAAACATTCACATATTTTTTAATCATATATCCAAATCCACCGCCTAATTCTTGATATGTGAAATTATTTCGCAATATTTAATAATCGCATATCCAAATTAATAACCACATATTTATCACTATGTGATATCTTATCCAAGTACACCGCATTATTTACAATATGCAATAAAGTTTGGCATATTAATTTATCGCATATCTAAATTGATCGCTGCATTTTTAGAATTATACAAAATATTTTCGCATAATTTTCAACTCGCATATCCAAATCTATAACGATGTATAATTGACAATGATGCGTAATATATTCGCATATTCTAGAATCGTATAATTTATGATTATCCAAATCAATATTATGCAAAATTAATTTCGAATATATAGTTATCTCATATTCAAATTGATCGCAGCATAACTTAGTTTATGCAAAATGTTTCCGCATAGTTTTCAACTCGCATATCCAAATGTGTAACGTTGTATATATACTTAACGATTATGCGTAACTTGTTTGCATATTCACAAATAGCATAATTTATTATTATCCAAATTAAACTTTTAAGAAAATTATTTCGCATATGCATATACAAATTGATCACCGCATATTTAAGATTATGCAAAACAAGTTCGCATAGATCACGACTCGCATATCCAAATATGACGCATAGTTAATAAATATGTGAATTATGTCCCAATATATTTTATAATCGCATATCTGAATCCACTGTATAATTTAACATATGAGTGAAAGTATCGCATATAACATTGCATATTTTATGATAATGCGACTTTTTCTTTTTCGCATAATTTACGACTCGAGCATCTAAATCTATAACGCCGTATAATTAACGATTACGCGTAATATATTTGCATATTCACAAATCACATATCCAAATTGAAAGGCGCATAATTCCAGACTATCTGCCGAATATATAGAGTCCAAATCACAAAAAGACGGTCCGATTACGGAACCATTCCTTGAATGTAAGGTTAGATCAACTATCTAGCATCTCCATCCAAAAAGAATCCAGAAAAATGATTTTTCACAGTAACAGACAATAGTCAACGTACTTTATTGTTGTGTCTACTGCATATAACAACGCGTCCCACTGTCATTCGACCGGCACAACCTTATTTGTCAAAATTCTGATTGTTTTTTTTCTTTTAATTTTTTAGGCCCTTTTTCCTACGCAAATCCATCAAAATATTCTTTGTTTGGTCCCAAGTCTCTGTTTTCTGGAAAAGGAAAAATATAAAAATAAAAAAAGTAGCCACCCTGTCATATCTATAGTCTATTATTTAATAAGAGCATCTTTAGTAAGAGCTTATGTGGAGGTTTACAAACCCCACCTTCAAGATTTTACTATTAAACTTCATAGGTTTAAGGTTTATAAATTCACAATTGGTTTGCAAATGTAAACCTCTCTCAAACCTTATTAAACAATAATATATATTCAAAGTGGATGACCCACTTACTTTTCTTCTCTATTTTTATATTCGTTTTTTTTTTCTTATATTAAGAACTATGGTTTATTTGTTTATAACAATTTAATAAAAATTATTTTCTTATAATAATTTAATAAAATTTAATTAATATACATAATTATTAAAATATAATATTTAGAATATAACTAAAAAATTGATAATATCAATTAACATTTTTATGATATTATTTATTACTTTATAATTTCAAATTATCAAATTATAAACTTCAACTTTTATTACTTTTATTACTTTATATCAATTTATATGTATCTATATATATGTGTCGATTTGATCAACTTTAAATATCTATAATTATTTTTTATGTATTTATCATAAATATTTGAAATATTTAGATTAAATAAAAATAAAAAGTGTAGTTGTATTTTTAAAATATTAATAAAATGTAAGAGTATAATATTAAATAAAAGTGAGTGAGAAACATGTGGGACCCATAAAAAATGAGGTTTATGAAGTTTATTATTATTGGAGGTTTATGAGTGTAGGAGTAAGGATGGAGTTTTGGATGATGTGGAGTGTTGAGAAGTGTAAAAGGAGGTTTATGAAGATGTATTGTTAAAGATGCTCTAAGAAGCACTTCGGCCACTATAGCTTTTTATATTATTTTATTACTCATTAGACTTCTTTTGTTGACACGTTAGATTTATAAGATTGGGTAGACAGTTTTGCCCTCACATTTAAGTCACTCTCTCAAATTTGTCTCTTCGTCCAATTTCATTAAAATAAAATATCTCTGCCTACCAACAAGAGTTGACTCAAGTGGTAAGCAGGTTGATATCCCTTAAGCAAGGTCTCGAGTTCGAGTCTTTCTTAGTCTGGACACAACTCAAAATACCGCGGCTGGCTACTGAAAAAAAAATATCTCTGCCTTAAACATCATTTTTTTTTCTGCCACCAAACTATTATTGAGTTCTCCTATTTGCTTTCTGCCACCAATCTAGTATTGAGTTCTCCTATTTGCTATATTGACCAACTGGAATTTTGACTATATCAAAATTTTAAACTCGGATGGTTGTTTTCTGTCATTTAGTTCGTTTTTCATCCGTGTTTGTTCATTTCTTATGTGATAATGTGAATGTTGGTGATTTAATGTCTAATTGCCATTAATTCGTGTTTGTTCATTTCTTATGTGATAATGTGAATGTTGGTGATTTAATGTCTAATTGCCATTAATTCGTTGGATGTTCGATATAGTTGTTGTCACATCATATTTCATTTTCCTTTTACCCATCATAAAAATTTGGTATTTTTTATTTATTGAATAATTATTAAAGGATTGTATATGCATTTTTATCTGTCTTGCTCTGGACAAACTTTTTAATTTTGGAGTTATTTTTTACAAGAGTTTATTTATCTATTAATATATAAAGAGGGAATGATAGTTGTTTGAAAAAATCAAGGAGAAAATCAACAAAAAAACATTTCAATTGCCGCCTAAACAATAAAATCTACTAAATAGAGTAATATTTTTTTGGGCTTCAAAATTTTTTGAAAGTTTGAATTGTTTCATTTCGGTTTCTTAGGAAAAAAAATCGGGAGTAATTTAGCTAATTTGGAAATAATATCTCCCCTAGGTTTGTGTGTCTATCCAATATGCACTTCATTTTTTAGCTGTTCAGAATAATTGTTTTGTTTCAGTTAATTTTGACTTATCCCTAAAAATTATTATCAGTTTTTCAATTTTTTTTTCTTTTTTCTTTTACCAATTAACATGAATAGTATTTTAGTAATTGATATAGTAAGTACACACGAAGATGACAACAAAAAATTAATCAAATAATGGTATTAAATATTAAACCAAACTTGATTTAAAATCTGATTGTCATGGTAATTAAGAAATGATTAGTTTGATAATAAAAAAAATACGATTTTAGTTCATTTAAAAAAATAGATTAATTCTTTCCAATTTATTTTATGCCAATAAAAAATTACGAAAAAATTTAATTTAAACAATATTTCACCAATTTAAATCGAACAATTTCACTTTATTGCTTTAAACAATAGTTCATCCGTTAAAACGGGACAATTTAACGTGTGAAAATATGTGCGAATATTTTGTTTTTTTATTCATGTTTGTTTTATAATCAGAATTAAAACTAATTTTAAACCTAATTATCAGTATGTTTAATCGCCACAGAATCCCGAACATATGAGCAATAAGCATAATGGCAATACAATCACAAATCCACAACGCCGGTTTGTATACTTTGAAATTAAAACATTACGAAAAATAATCCCAAGATTATGACCAAAAATACGTTCCAAGATTCTTGCTAAATAAAATCGGAAAAAGAAACGTAATGCCAATACAATCCCAAATCCAACGTTCACAATGTCAGTTTGTAATCTTTTAAATGATAATTACGAATAAAAATAGCAAATCCACAATCCTAAAGGAAACATAATTTGAAAATATTGAAACTCTTATTGATAGAGATTTGACAAAATAAAAATCTATTTAATATATAAAGATACAATGATATTTACTTGAAATACCAACTAAAAATCAGCAAAAAAAAAAAATATTTAGTTTCCCGCCTAAAGTACTTACTATATTGAGTAATATTTTTGGCAAAAATTTGAAAAATCTCGCCTAAATTAATGTACATAATCATTTTGGTCAAATATTGCGGCTATTACCTTTATTAGTTGCATAATTTAAATTTGAAATATAATATATTGACAAAACATGCAGCTACTACCTTTATTAGTTGCATGTTTAAATTTGGTATATAATTATAAAAAAAATAAAAATTATTTTATTTAAAATTTAGAATAAAAAAATAATTATTCATAACTTACATGTCAATATTAACTTGGACGTAAACGAAATAGTCAATTATTTATAGTTTAATAAATTACTCATCAACTTAATTTTTTTATTTGAATATTTTATACAAAAAAAAATTATTTAAGTAATAGAACAATATAAATTTTATATTTATACTTATTATTCACATAGGTTGTTAAATATATGATAACATTTTACCAAAATAACTATTTTATGGAATCACATTATAGTTAATAGAATTTCTGAATAAAAATTTTGAAATAATACTTATTTTGAAACGAATATAATGTAATTTATTATCAGTTATGTGCACAACACGGGTCGTATACTAATTTTAAATAGACACTTTTATATAATTTTATACAATTTAAATTTTATATAACATTTTCAATAAATTAGTATAGGTAATTGTATTACATATTGATTCTATATTTTTAATTTATAAATATTACTTAATAAGAATTATTAATTTATAAATATTAATGAATATCTCTTGCCCCGTGCACTACACGGGATTCATACTAGTTATTGTTCTAAGCACATAATATTAAATGTTTTATAATTTTCACTATGCTTTTGAGGATCTCTTGGGCATATATTAATTCTTTTACAGTTTTGTTTTCTATGTTTTGTGTTGTTTTATGTTCTTTGATGTGGGGCTTTGTTGCATAAAGATGTACTTTGCTATAGAGTGCAAATGTCTGGTATGTTTATTTTAGTATGTTGGCACATTGTTCACTGTACTATTTCTATTTGGTATTCAAATTTTAACTGTGTGTGTTTTTACATCTTGATGTTTATTAACAATTGAGATTTTTTAGTCTCATGTCAGAAAAAATTTTAAAAATTGCTATTGTTGGTAGTAATTATTTGATTATCAATGTAGAACAAAAAATAAAAAAAAGGAAACTTTCATAGCATCATTTTATTTACTTAAGATATGTCTACTTTTGGTTAATTAAGATGGTAACACCTTACAATAAGAAAATGAAATGTAATATATGAGAATGTAGGAAAATGACAAATGATTTATGGTAACTAATTGTAGAAGAAAAGAAAAAAGAGATTAATTAGAATTTAATGTGAATAATATAGAAATGTCTCATTTGCTATCTGAATTCTGTACAATTTTATCAATGCATGTGTAGATATCTTTATGTGTGGAAATTTCTGAGGATGGGGGCATAATGACCAGTTTTTCTATGGAGCCATCAGATGGCTCGACTTATGGAGTCATCCACACTTATTCACTAATAGTGTATTGACACGTGTCCTGCAATAAATACACTTCGGACAAGTGTCAATACATTAAGTGATGTATGACTCCATAAGAAAACCATCCGATGGTTCCATAGAATTTTTGGCACAATGACATCTTTTTTTTTTAACATGGTTCACATAATTTTTTTTACTGATTTTCAACTAGACGAATATTGTTAGCTCTATATATATATATATCCTTTTGAAAAACTGTGAATGTTAGTAAAAAGAAAAAAGAGAATAATATAATAGAAAATAGTTAATATACAATTTAAATAATCTGACAAAATAAAATTTCAAAAAATAAGACTTCCGTGGGGCCGATTACCCCTAGTTTTCTAATAACTTGAGAAGCACGATGATTATATATACACTTGTGCGGGTATATTTTAAGCTCACAGGCTAAAACTTGTGTGCAGTCACATTTTAACATCAATTTACTCAGCCTAATCGTAATTGGTTATATTTATGAACACAGGGTGCTGTGAACATAGGTTTTCGAACAGATAAAAGCTCTGATAAACGAAAAGCTTTACAAAATAAAAAATAAAAAATAAAATAGAAAAAATAGAAAACAAACTGATAAACGAAAAGCTTTACAAAGAAAAAGGCCACAACAAAGTGGGAACGAATGCCACGCGGCGGCACAACAGAAAAGAATAAGAGAGATATAACAACGCGTCTTACTGTCATTCGACCGGCACAACCTTATTTGTCAAAATTCTGATTTTTTTTTTTCTTTAAATTATTAGGCATTTTTTCCTACCAAATCCATCAAAATATTACTTTCTTTGGTTTGGTCCCAAGTATCTGTTTTCTAATCGAAACAAAAAAGTGTCTG